ATTTTTGTTTTCTCTCTTTTGGCGTTTTTTGGACTTTTTTGGACTCTTTTTGGACTTTTAGTTGGTCTTTGTTTGTCCTTTTTTTGTGTTTTTATTTGTCTTTTATTTTCTTTTTATTTATTTTTAAAATTATCTTTCAATTACTTTTTATTTATCTTTCAATTCTCATTTTATTTATCTTGCATTTATCTTTTGCTTATCTTTTATTTATCGTTTATTTATCTTTTAATTGTGTCTTTAGGTCTCTTCTTAGTTGTCTCGTTTTATCCTTTTTATTTATGTAATTGCCTCCTCTTATTTTTCATTTTATTTATTTAATTTTCAAATTTATTTTTGCTTATTTAATTTTCTCTTTTTATTTATTTTTGTTTATTTTATTGTCTCCCTTTACGCGCTTTTTGCTTCTTCATTCCCCGTTGCTTTGTCTTCTCTTCGTTTCGTAAATTGCTGCTGCTGCTGCTGCTGTTGCTGCTGCTGCTGCTGTTGCAGCTGTTGCTGATCTTGATTTGTGTTTTTTGTTCGGTTTCTTCAGGTATCGGCAGACACAATAATTCAAAGCTACACTACTATGCCTCCAGGCAAGGGCTTAGGGTTTAGGGTTTAGGGTTTAGGGTTTAGGGTTTAGGGTTTAGGGCGGGTTTGGCTGTGGAGAAGGCCGGACTGACGGTTTGTGTGTGGGCTCGAGGGTTTAGGGTTTAGAGAGGCTCTGTGTGTCCAGGGTTAAGGGTTGAGGGTTCAGGGTTTAGGGTTTAGGGTTTAGGGTTTGAGCGCAGGGTGGGACTGGGACGCGTATCAGCGTGAGGAGGAGGAGGCGGCGCAGCGGAAGCGTTCTCGAGGGGAGGCCGCAGCAGCAGCGGCAGCAGCAGCAGCAGCAGCAGCTGGGGGCCGGAAGCGGCGCGCAGCAGCAGCAGCAGGAGTTGCGCTGCTTGCTGCTGCTGCTCGCGTGGAGGAAGAGGAGGGTTTGTGCGGGGCGGTGGGAACGCCGACGAAGCCCGCAGCAGCAGCAGCAGCAGCAGCAGCAGGGGCGGGCGGCGCGGTGCCGCCGCCCGCAGCAGCAGCAGCAGCAGCAGCAGCAAAACACGGAGTGGACTACTACTATAAAGGAGGCCGCAGAGTTGTTCTTGCAAGAACTCCTCCGTTGGTGAAGCAAAGAAGAGGAGAACTTCTTGCTGCTACTTTGGGACTAAGTCCTTTGGATGATCCTTGGATGGCTGCTGCAGTGGGGCTGCTGCCTGCTGCTGCAGCGCAGCAGCAGCAGCAACAGCAGCAGGGCGCGGCAGAGCGCGAGGCGCTGCTGCAGCAACGCAGGGAGCAGCAGCAACTCAGCGGCCTCCTCAATGGCTTCTCCGGCCAGTGGCTTTTCATGCTGCAGTCCCTCGTGCTGCCGCGCAGCAAGCTGCTGCAGCTGCTGCTGCCGGTGCCGCTGGATTTGCTGCACAACCCCACAAGTCTCTTTGCCCCGCTGCCGCCGCTGCTGTCCCCTTTGCTGCTGACGGAGCTCGCCGTGCTGCACCAAAACCCTGCTGCTGCAGCACATTTGCTGGCAGCAAATTTGCTGCTGCACCGCATAGGAGACACAATTGCTGTCAGGGCCCTCGACCCTGCCCAGAAGCGCCTCGCCTTCAAAGAGTCTCCTCCAGAAACCAGCAGCAGCAGCAGCAGCAGCAGGCAGCAGAGGAGCAACAAGGGAAAGTCCACACCAAACGAACCGACACACCCAGGTGCGCCTCCTCCTGCTGCTCTTCTTCCTGCTGCTGCTGCTGCTGCTGCTGCTGATCGCCTCTTGCTGCTGCTGCTGCTCCTTTGCCGCGGCGGACTGTTCCCTGCGGAAGGGGAGGAGGCGCTGCTGCTGCTGCTGTGCTGCTGGTGC